CGTCTTCTATCATTTAATCATTCGTTTCAAATTGGAGAATACTTTGTCGATTCATTACAGCATGCTATTGGTGATTAATACGTAGGAACCTCGGCATGTAATCTCTGTACCACCAGGTGCTAGACGTAATGCTGTTGACCCACATTATATTTGTCTGTGAGTACATGAGCACCACATTTAACTTCCACTTAAGCATACGAAACAGTTGCACATGGCAGTAATGGTAAAAAACGGGACCTTCAAATACTATGCAATTTTCTTCAATTTCATAGCTAAGAGTATTCCTCGTAAGAAGCGAAGGAAATAAGCAGGTAAATCATAAAACAAGGTTTGTACAGCGATTACACTTTATTCACTATATTTATTCCTTCTTCATGTTTCTGCACAATTCTTCAGAAAGAGTGGGTGTAATGGTACATGCTCTACTTCGTTCAACTCTGACATCGCATCACAGAGAATTTCTTTGTTTGTCAAGCAAATTTGAAATGTTGGTGATAGACAAAAATAAGGTGATTCATTCCATGTGAGTTCTAGCAATTTTAGATGTGATGGCGGCAGCGCATTAAGAATGAATTTATTTGAGAACAATTATCCTTGTTATCATTTATGGAGAGCACCACCCACCAAATAAGTCTGTAGAGGATTTTCGGTAAAAGTCATGAAAATAGGAGAGTAGTAGTAGTAGCACCCATTTTTTATTTTGCAGTAAATTATAAATTTATGCGAAGACTCGGGAACAACACTTGAGCAGTGGTTAAGATTAGTTTCTTCGCTATTACGCTTTGAGGATTGAACTTTTGCAAAATCAACAGCATCCAATCTGCGTGTTCTTTGGCCTTTAACTAAGTCTGCTGCTACAATCGTCATAGCTATATATACGCATGCACCTACCCGCAAAACCCGTACGCAGGTATCGTAACCTAATTTGCCCTTTTTTAGGCATTACCTTAGAGCCAACAATCCTCTCAAATTCAAAGTGGAATACTGCTGCTACTAAAGTTGCCCTCGGCAGTCCTTAGATGGCACAAGTTATAGGTTTTGGAAAGGGGGCATGTAACGCAAAAAAATTCGTTATGCAGTACTTCGGCAAGTCAAGACAGATTGCCTGCTACTCTGAAGTTCGACTACTTGCCTTCATCCCAAATGCATGGCAGAGTCAAGTGAATTTTTGGAACAGGACAATAAGTCGAATTAAAATTGTACATTATTTGCTCATAAAATTGATAAATATTTTTTAACTGACTCAATAGATTTTTTCGGAAAACAATGACCCATAATGTGAACTAAAACAATTTAAGTGTGTATATGTCTATATAGCTTCACAAGTAGAATACACTACCATCAATATTCAAAATGCAAATTGCAGTATTTGGTAAAGGTTTGATAAAATACCTGGCATCGTTTGATTTACTGTACTCGGGTAAATAAAAGTTTTCGTATCCGTGCAAATCGGACCAGGAGACGGCGATAGCGCGCAATTTCACTCCAGCTTATTAAGAAGCTGACTATTCAGGGCTATTGCAGGATGGCCGGTAGACATGCGTGGAGTCTGATGGGTAATCCAAGGTAAACGAAATACGCCCAAAGTAAATGGATGCAAATCAACCATCACGGATTCAACTTCCTCAACACATTCCACTCTTCATAAATGTACCGATTCCTAATACTTGGAATACTTTACCCTAATGCTCTTTTCTTTTGGATAGTCCTTGTATAAGCCAATCTTCAACCTGCAAAATTCTCCTACGGCGCTTTTGCATTTGTTGGATGAATACGGAGTGGCTTCCTGGCTTTGCTCGGAAGTTGCGGTTTCTCAATATGCTCTTAGTAAAATAACTGCAAATCACTTACATTCCTTTTTACTGGGAAGATTAGGTATTGCTGATTGTTGCACGCTTTACTAGCAGTTCTCGTTTCATGTTTTTGTCAAAAAGATTGGGCCACATAACCCGAAATCCACCAAAGGTCTTTCATTGCTACCTCCTGTTTGATGCTTTTATTAATTACTGTTTACGGTGGCACCAGACAATGAGCATATTACAGCTTGGGCCCTCCCATGGCTTCCTACAGAATTCGTGGAAGACTTTTGTACATATCCCATGCTAATAAAAGTGTGATTAGGTGCTGGAAATGCATAAAAGTGTATCAATGCAGTCAATGTGGGATTAACCCATTTTACTAACAGTGAACCGATTCGCAGCAGTAATCGGACCGTGGTACACGCTTAACA